TTTCAACATACTCATTAGTAAGTGTTTAAAGTATTATAAAACTTTCAACATACTCATTAATAATTGTTTAAATTATTATAAACTTTCAACATACTCATTAGTGAGTATTTAAAGTATTATAAAACTTTCAACCTACTCATTAATAATTGTTTAAATTATTATAAGACTTCAACATACTCATTAATAATTGTTTAAATTATTATAAGACATTCAACATACTCATTAATAATTGTTTAAATTATTATAAGACATTCAACATACTCATTAATAATTGTTTAAATTATTATAAGACATTCAACATACTCATTAATAATTGTTTAAATTATTATAAGACATTCAACATACTCATTAATAATTGTTTCACTTCTAACATGAACATGTATCGCTGACATGGATGACATGTGTTCTGTTTTATAATAACACTTTCAATTTTTTATCAAGCTGTTTCAGTTTAATATATTTCCGAATCATTAATAATACTTTTAAAACAACATTATCTACCTTTTCCTCTTCCTCTGACAGAGTAAGTTTCATACCAAAGACCGGTCGGTATATGGTATAATGCTCCCAAAGAAGTCGAAATCAGTTAAGAATTAATTTTCACTTTCGTTTCTGGTTATGAGTAGAAAAATCAAATGTTAGAAACAACATAGCCTGGAGCAGTACAAAAGATAGACGTAAGACATATTAGTTTTCGTTTGACTAAATGAAATGGAAATGCACAAAACAAATGGAAAATATTGTTTTATTGAAAAGAACTATAACTACTTTAGATTTCATCAGTGCTGACAGAAATGTATCTGATAAAACCCGCTACAGTACACACGTCTACAATGGCAAAGCTCTTGCTCAGCGGAGTCTCATTTGCATTTTAACGTTTGTAATCTTTTTGTTGTAAGAAATATTTGTGTGTGTGTTTTGCATATTTAGGTTTGTTTGGTTACGTTGAAAGTTTAATCTCTTGTATGAGTGTGTGAATATATTTTCTACATTAATACATAAAGTTCTCCAAGTGTATTTATATGTATATACTTTCTTTCTAAAGGTGCTGCTTAGAACACGACTGGTGCTATACCTATTCTGCTTTAATCTCTTGTATGAGTGTGTGAATATATTTTCCACATTAATACATAAAGCTCTCTAAGTGTATTTATATGTATATACTTTCTTTCTAAAGGTGCTGCTTAGAACACGACTGGTGCTATACCTATTCTGCTTGTCATCAGCTCCTCGTTTATTTTGTTTCTTACCGATTTCAATGTGCTGCTCCTGGAAAAGCTCACTGTAGTAAGTACCAATCACTATTCATAACCTAGTAGTCACTGTCCTTATCAAACTGCTTTATTTTTTAATTGTAGGTATTTTGGTTTCAGAAGCTACACAAGGGCTATTTACACGTAGCCGTTCCTAATTTTGAACCGACTTTTTGGTTACTCAAATCAGTAGTGGGATTCAACGTCACTCGTATAGCACACACTCATGGCCTCGATGTGCGGAGCGCAATTTTGACGACAACGAGATCCCAAGATTCACAGTCCAGCACGCTAACTGATTGACTACACCCGTCCCTCAAAGTGTGGAGCTCGCTATAGTTGCGAACCATGAATCCTCTGATTCACAGTCCGGATGTGCTAATCACTGAGCAAATAACTGTAGGATTATACAGATTATCTTCTTACGTAATCACTCTAAGGAATTGTTGTTACATGTCAGTTTTATATTGTTGTTACATGTCAGTTTTATGTTGTTGTTACATGTCAGTTTTTTTACGTTATTTTGAAGTAACACAACGAAATTCAGTTTTTGTAGGATATTTAGAAGTAACACAACGAAATTCAGTTTTTGTAGGTTATTTAGAAGTAACACAACGAAATTCAGTTTTCTTACATTATTTAGAAGTAACAACGAACTTCACACGTAATAATTTTAAAACGTATTTGTTTTTCATTTACATTGGTAATTATCATGTATATTTCATTAAGAATATTTTTAGTTTCTACAAAAACAGCTTAGTAAACTACTAGTGCTGTCACTCGCAAATCTAGGGAGAAATAGAATACTAAGTTTCTAGAAACTTTAAAACTACTGTGGGGTTTCTAAGAGGTCTTTTCTTGGCGAGAGTTTTTATATTTTTCAAACGATTATCTTACTTAGCCGAACTTTTGTACAGAAATTCCTAATTCACTTGTGTAAATATTTGATTGTAAAGTGTACTATTTTAGAGGCAAGTGATTTACTTAACACGTTTATTCAAAAGTTTTAATATAAAATTTTGTTTTCTACGAGAACAAAAACAACTTAAAAATCAACTTTTAATCTTCTTTCTTCATCTACGACTATATCAAGTACGAAAATGCTGTTTTTAATTCTGATTTTCACACCCAAAAATTCCGAACGAGACACGCTCCTTTTCCCAATGGAGATTTCCAGTTTAAGACGTAATCTCCATTTACTTTAAAATATGTGCATATTTTGTGTCTTATATTGAACTATAGTAGTATTTTGTCACTTATGTACACCCATTGTCACTTTCAGCCTTTTGTTTTCCAACATTTTTAGGGAAAAATTAGCTAATAACGTAATATATATTTTGTCATTTTATTTATGTTTAGAGTAAAATGTAAAATGGTCCTCTGACTAAAATAAGATCCATAATTCACTTAGTAGCTGTAATTGTGTTTTAGATCAATGTTTCCCAAAGTGGGGGCCGCCAAAAAATGTGCCGAAAAAAAAAGATGCTGAATTAATTCTAATTCTAAATAAACAATAATCCGATAAAAATTATGATGAATTAATTAAATGATACAGCATGTCGAAAGGAGATGTTATTGTTTTTACTACAGCACTGTTTTCCATTCACCATGCTAAAGTAGTGTGTGTGTGTGTGTATGTGTATGTGGGGTGGGGGGGGGGGAGAACCACGTCAGTCGGTCGCGAGAGAGTGTTGACTGATTGTGTTCACACTTAAGCACCTATAACGTAAGTTTGTTTGTTTGTAGTTAAGCACAAAGCTACACACATGGGCTATCTGTGCTCTGCCCACCACGGGTATCGGAACCCGGTTTCTAGCGTCTGCAGAGATTCCGCTGTGTCACTCACTGGGAAGCCGTAAGTGTAAGACAGGTTAGCCTACATTTGCTATATTTTTCGTAAACTGTCAATAACAGTGGTGAAAGTCGGCCGGTACAGCGTACTAGTATGCAATATTTGGAATTTTATGATTTTTCTTTTCAATTACTAAAACGTCCAATGCGATACAAAACAAATCTTCAGTTGTTTTGTTTCGATAAGATTGCAAACGTATAATTTAACAAAAAAACTACTTCATAGATATAATTAAAGTTCTTTAGTAATTATTTCTTGAAATTGACAAATCAAATTTTAAGGCATTTTTATGGGTCGGGGGCCTCAAACTTTTTTATTCACATCAGGGGAGCCTCAGACTAAAACAGTTTGGGAACCACTGTTCTAGGTGATATCTTTTAAACTCACGTTGTACTGTATGCTCGATGCCAGAATTGGAATAGATTTGTTTTTATTTGGCGCAAAAAAAACAACAAAATTTTATCTATTTACAAAAATTAATAGTTGAATATAGTTCTCCATTAATGTAATGATATTTTTCAGTGATCAGCTTCAATAGCCGTACACTTTATGCAACCAAGAAACAATAGCTCACAGTAACACAGCGGTAATTCGGACCAGGTTTTGATATCCGTAGTGGGTACAGCACAGATAGCACATGGTGTAGCTTTGTGCTTAAATACAAACAATAAGCAGAACACAAAAGTTCTTCTCATATTCCGATTCATAGTTGTTTAGCCTTATGACATCAAGAATATCTACATCTGTTTAGTTGTTTAACCTTATGACATCAAGAATATCTACATCTGTTTAACCTTATCACATCAAGAATATCTGCATCTGTTTAGTTGTTTAACCTTATGACATCAAGAATATCTACATCTGTTTTCCGATTCACAGTTGTTTAACCTTATGACATCAAGAATATCTGCATCTGTTTAGTTGTTTAACCTTATGGCATCAAGAATATCTACATCTGTTTAGTTGTTTAACCTTATGACATCAAGAATATCTACATCTGTTTAGTTGTTTAACCTTATGACATCAAAAATATCTACATCTGTTTTCCGATTCATAGTTGTTTAACCTTATCATATCAAGAATATCTACATCTGTTTATTTGTTTAACCTTATGACATCAAGAATATCTACATCTGTTTAGTTGTTTAACCTTATCACATCAAAAATATCTACATCTGTTTTCCGATTCATAGTTGTTTAACCTTATGACATCAAGAATATCTGCATCTGTTTTCCGATTCATAGTTGTTTAACCTTATGACATCAAGAATATCTGCATCTGTTTAGTTGTTTAACCTTATGACATCAGGAATATCTGCATCTGTTTAGTTGTTTAACCTTATCACATCAAGAATATCTGCATCTGTTTTATAAACTCAATCCATGTGTTGCCAAAAATTCTCCTTACAACTGAAACGCTGATATTTATGTAATTTTCGTAAATGTGTTATCATAATAACGGTTAAGTCTTGTTAATTTCAGGAGGCGATGACTATACTGTTGACGGTGAATGTGCTGCCCAGCTTTGTAAATGTGACATAGCCTTCGCTTACTGCGTAAGTAAGTATTCTTGTCCCTCGCATCGTGCCTCATGTCAGTCTTCATCGCCATCAATCACAATTACATTCCACAACGTAGTGAAGGTCACAAGCAACATAAATGGGAAATAACCCTCCATAATAGCTACCTGTGATAAGAAACCTAAAGGTATTATGTCGATAGTAGCACAGTGATTTTTTTCCTCTAATAATTTATGACGATGGTAAAGTAGCAGATTACAGCCTTTATTCCAGAGTCACTTCGCATTATTCAAGTTGTAGAATCTGTTTGAAGATTCTAAGTTATTGGTGTGAAACTAGGTAAAACTGACATATGGATATTATCTCAAACAAAACTTGTGAAAATGATGTGGTAGCATTCCTGTAACCACTGACTCGTTCACCACGAAAAATAGCAAAATTGCTATTATATAGCTGATCCACAAACTTCAAAATATTAATCCATAAAATTAATTGATAAGATAGCAAAAAATGGAAGAGAAAAGTTTTTAATGTAAATGCATTATAAGAATTTTACTAGGATATTAGTTCAGTTTCAAGATACTCGGGGAATTCTTACAGATATTCATTTTATCATACTCCTTTGGATGTTCACTTGTTGGAGTCATGTAAATCTATACCTCACATATTGAAGATCCATTAAAAACAAAAAAACTGTGTTGGAAGCTTCATATTATAAGCAGCAACAAATTATTAATGGAGGCCTTTAATCGCCAACCATTGTTTACATCTTCGGGCCAAGACACCATCTCCAGTGAAACACGTACAAAAACAGAAGTTACAACTTCCATCCAGGGCAACATCTTCAGTGAAACGCGTACAAAAACAGAGGTTACAACTTCCATCCAGGGCAACATCTTCAGTGAAACACGTACAAAAGTCTAAGTACAAGACGGTGATTGTAAAATCTAAAATAAAAATATCTGCTACAAGTCCAACCTATAGTCAGGATTTTGTATTAGGAAGAAAAAGAAAAAAAAACTTGTAAATAGACTAAACTGAGCCATTTTTTTCGTATCTATTCGACTTTAAATTTTCTTTTTCAAGATCTCTATGGTCATATACGAATGATTGTTATAGTATATTATCTTCTCACATTAAAAAGCTGGTCTGTCACGCAGCAACGTTTTTTTTGTTGTAAGGATTATAATTATAATTAGTAGGCTGCTGAGCATAAAGATTAGATTAGATAAGCTTCGTAGCTTTTAGGCTACTGAACATAGCGATTGGAGTAGATAAGCTTCGTAGTTTGTAGGTTACTGAACAAAGCGATTGGATTAGATAAGCTTCGTAGTTTGTAGGTTACTGAACAAAGCGATTGGATTAGATAAGCTTCGTAGCTTGTAGGCTACTGAACAAAGCGATTGGATTAGATAAGCTTCGTAGTTTGTAGGTTACTGAACAAAGCGATTGGATTAGATAAGCTTCGTAGTTTGTAGGCTACTGAACATAGCGATTGGAGTAGATAAGCTTCGTAGCTTGAAGGCTGCTGAACATAGTTAGGGGTTAGCTAAGATTTAAAAGCAAGATAATCCCAATTGCTTGGTTTTAGATAGCACAGTAATATATTAATATTTCCGCTCATTACTTCTTTATTTTTCTGAAGTTCACACTGTGAAGTTGACAGTGAAGTTGGTTGCATATTTGTAAAGACAACTAGCCTGGTTCTACACAAATTAAACTCGAACAGTTGTACTTATTTTTAAGTGAAAACATAAGAAAGGCCCACGTTTCTTGAACAATAGTTAGGACAAACTGGTATACAAAGATATAAAATAAAGAAGTTCTAGTGAACGAAAAGTTCCAAAGTTTGTCCAACGAGACGACTGTTCGTAAAGATAAGATTAAGTCAAGGGTTTGAGTCTTGAAAAACCACATATAGCTAAGTGAATCGGGGTCTTAGTTCTTTTTATGTTTAGTTCATACTACAACATCTGTATACGGTAAGTAACAGCGAGTTGTTGCCATTTGTATAGATGTATAGTTTCCTATCAGTCTTATTCACTGTTCGTGTATCGACATGACTTATAAGTACAACCAGAATTCGTAAACAACTCTCAACCGTTTATTCTGTGAACGTATATTTCAGAAGAATCACAACAAACAGTGACGTCATATTTATTTGCTACATATAATAGCTTCAGTGTTTAAAGCCTTCTCTTCAGTTTGGTAACGGAGATTTCTATGTGTAGTAAGTAATACCAGACAATTTTGGGTTTGCAGACACAAGTCCATATCCACTTTTTGTACTCGGTAAATGTGTAACATAACTCTGTACTATTCGAGAATAATATGACCTAAGATACTGCTGAAACTTTCTGTAGTTTCTAACATATAGTCTGATGTAATTGTCCCACTGTGGGTCAGCGATAAGTTGACGATTTACAATGATAAAATCCGAAGTTCGATTCCCTGCAGTGGACACGACGCATATATAGCCCATTCTGTAGCTTTTCGTTAAAAACAGCAAGAACCAGGATGTGATTAATTAATAGCATTGGGGCTTTATAATGTTCCTAAAGATCAATACGCGGGTGACAACTCTCCGACTGTATCTATAATGTGTTCTAGAAGTAGTTAGACTAAGCTGAACTTAGCATTATGAAGCTATGACTTGTAAATATTGGATTCTCCTCATTGTACTCACGCACTCAAAATATTTGAGCAAATTTTAAATGGCACTAGTTAAAACATGGAAAGAACACTAAGCTATACAAACCAACTCTGAATAAGTGACTTTTTGGAACTTTTTTACGTTCAATTATATTTATTTTAATAGAAATTTTCCCGATTGACAAAACTTTCATCTTCTGGGAAAACATTCAATAAATTGGGTTTTTGCGCTAAAAAACCCATAACAAGGCCAAAAACGAATGTTTGTAACTGCCATCAAATACCAGATTCTTTTTACTATAATTATTTTAAACAGATTTGTTGAATGGCTTGTATCCGTTTATCTCCTATGATGTAAGTAAAAAGTCTTTATTAAAAAAATGTAACAATGCTTCTTTAACAGGGTGTATATACCGAACACATTTCTTTCATATTAGGTAAATTACTATTTGTGCTGTTTCTAATATTTAGTATGATTGTTAGCCTAAAATAAGTTTATGTTTCATAAAGCTGTCCAGTGGAATTACTATATTAATGCCAAAACTGAAGTCCTATTTAAAGAAGGTCCAATTTTATATCATAAAATGATGTCAGATTTGTAACCACATTTTGTATGTCAGAAAACAATAAATTTTGCGTCTAAGAAGAGAACAAATAAAGTTATGAAGATATTAATAAACAGTTCATTTGTTACATGAGTTTACGTGCACATTGTTTCAAATAAAGTTATGAAGATATTAATAAACAGTTCATTTGTTACATGAGTTTACGTGCACATTGTTTTGAATATTGTTCTGTTCATAAGTGTTGAAAGTATAGATTTTTTCATTATTGAACTTGTATTATTCATTCTCTGCTTTACATGCGATATTCTTGTAAGATACATGCTTAAATTGTAACACTTTTAATTAAAACTTTGGAAATCATGTCATTTGTATTTTAACCGAAATTGTGATTTTTCCCCCTTAAAACTATACAAACGGTTTTATATGTATATAAAATTGTTTATGTTTCTGGAATGTAATACTAATAAAATTGTTTATGTTTCAGGAATGTAATACTAATAAAATTGTTTATGTTTCTGGAATGTAATACTAATAAAATTGTTTATGTTTCTGGAATGTAATACTAACACATTTGTCTCCCTGACGAATGATGTGTTCTTGTTTCTTAGCAATTTCTCGAACATTTTACTTACAACACGAACTTCTAGTAGAGTATACGATAAACTTACTTAGAAGAGTATAATACTATCTCAAGGTAATTGTAGACTACTTGTATAATAACCAAATCATTTCGAAAGTTATTGATAACGCACTTGTCAAAAATACTTCACATAATGAGATGGATTACGCAATTTAATAAAAGAATTGGGATATAACTGCCTGTGTTTTTTACGTAATACCACATAAAATTGTTTGCAGTGTTTTGTTGATAAAATGACACGCATAATAAATTACACAACTTAGCAAAACAATTATCATATATCACCTCTAAATGCTTGAATTTTTGGTTCTTACAAATAATACCACATAACAAAATTGTCTGTAATATTTCGATTGTTTTCTAACAATAACAAACAAAACGTTTAAAATACTTGTTGGGATTCATGTGCTTTAGTTTTGTGTATACTATTTTATCTATCTAAAATAGAATACAACTTGATATAAACTACGATGTCGTGGGCGACTCGCATTAAATGTTTGAAATACTTGTTGGGATTCATGTGCTTTAGTTTTGTGTATACTATTTTATCTATCTAAAATAGAATACAACTTGGTATAAACTAGGATGTCGTGGGCGACTCGCATTAAACGTTT